TTTTAAGTATAAGGAAGACATTTATAGGGAACTTGATAGGTGGCAGGGATATCATCAGATATATACAGATGGGTCTAGGAACAATGAAGCAGTCTCTATAGCTGTCTATGATAGTCAGATCAAAAGTGGATTCGGTCATTTTTTTTTTTAATGGGAAAAGGGGGCAACCGTCGCCCATTGACATCTGCAACGTAGATATGCAGATGTGTTGCCGCCCTTGTTTGGGGAAAATGGGGAGAGTAAAAGGTGGGAAAGGGAAGGAAAGGAAAGGGCAGGAAAGGGTGGGAAAAGGGAAAGGGCAACCGGCTCTCTCACTCACCGAACGAAACGCAGCCATTAAAGACTACTTCACGCCGATTTTCTGTGAGAGGGTGGTGCTTCCCCGGTCGAGCCAGCCCATGTTCGAGCTGCAGTAACTTGACCACAGCTAGGCTCTACCACCTCTGATCATAGGCTGAATTCACTCACAAGCATATACTCCGCTGAATACACAGCTGTTGAGCACATTCAAACACAGACTCATCCAAAGTGGATTATAATAACAGATAGTTTAAGTTTATTAACAGCACTACAAAATCCACAATTAAATTCAAAAACTAACTATATTATATATAAAATAAGAGAGTATATATTATATATAAAATAATAAAAACTAACTATTCTGTCTCAAAACAAGCAAATAGTCCTATTCTGGATGTAACCAGCCCTCATTGGTGTGCATGGTAATGAGCAAGCAGACTATTTAGCTAAATTTATTACAAATCCGGCCCACAATCAATTAAACTCAAGTTACAGAAAGAATTTTACAACTTATGGCATCAGGTGGCAAAGGTAAATTGAAAATGGTTTACCCGGGGACGGGGAGGTCGTTTGCGTCTGGGACATTGTAGTTTTGGTGCTCACCTTTTTAGGATTGGTGTTTTTGACTCTTCAATTTGTAGATATTGCAATAGTGCTGATGAAACCCTCGTACATATATTTTTTGATTGTCCACAGTTTAGTATACAAAGGATGGTCCTTGTAGACCAACTTTTAAGTATTTTTAAAACTGCTGAAGATATCCCACGCTCCCTTCAGCAAATACTAAGCATTCAACAATGCTTCTTGCCAGTTTATGGCTTTATTGTTTCTACTATAAATGAAATCTAATTGTTATATGTACATATGTATATACTAATAACTTTTTCGTTTTGTTTAAGATATTTGTTTTTCAGCTATTTTCAGAATTTGACCGTTTTATCGATTGTGACAAATGAATTGTACTAAAAATGACACTACAAGGACTTGACATTGAAAAATGACGGAATGAAAAAAAAACAAGAATTTCACAAAAAAAAATTATTTTAAATAAAGACATGGCTTTGGCCTTATAATTAAAAATGATTCAAGAAAAAAAATTAAAAGAAAACATGGATTTGGCTTTAAAATAAAAAAAAATATTTGAGAAGAAAATTAAAAGAAGACATGGCTTAGGCCTGATATAAAAACTTGCGTCAAGAATATAAAAGGAGATTAAGACATTTTAAAATAATTAAAGATGGCTGTATGGGCTTTGTTCTCTTTGCCTGTTCTGAACGGAACGAACATACCAAAAAAAATTTCTCCGTTGAGTTCTTTGACTTATTGTTTATAATATTTAATTGTCAAATCTGGGGCATGTTTTTCAGTGATTATACAAATGATTTTTGTATAAATAATAAACTTTATAACAAATATCCTAATATTAAAACTATAATAATATTTACAAATCAGTCTAATCACCAACGGTATAAGAATCACTAAATTGACATGAGATACATATTTGTCGTTATAAATAAATATCAATCTATTTTTTAAAGTTTATTTTATATATAGAACTTTACTTAAATTTATATTTGTTTTCAATTTATAGTCGTCCAGAGAATTACAATATAATTCTTTTTCTTATAAGGGGTTTTCAACAGTTTTAGTAAATCTTAAAACTAGAAGTGTTCATAAATATTAATATAAAATGTAAAAAGAATAGAATAAATGGGTTAAGAAAAAATATAAAAGTTTGTTATTTGTGCAGGTGCCGCCACCTAGCGAGCAATAGGGAAATTGAACCCTTTTATTTAAAACTTGTTGAGCGAAATTCCGCTAGATGGTTCTTTCCATCTATGTATATCATGAGTAAATTTTATATGCTTCTGAACCACAGATGGCTTTAATGCAAAAATGTGTGCTATTTCAGTAATGAATTAAATTATTTATCTAAAATGAAATAGTATCGAATAAGAAATGAAAAAAAGTGTAAATTTTTATTATAATTATATGTTAGATAAATCCCGAGAATGTTTTAACTTGGAATAATAAAATTTTACATAAAAGTGACCCGAAATAAAAGTAATAAAGTAACAACTCTGTGAGAAAATAAAGTTACAGTTTAATCGTCTTCTAAATATTTTATAACAATCACTTGTCATTGCAATATTCAGATAAAGTAAAACAAAAATTATAAATAAAAACAACTTTAAAATACTGGGAACATTAACTACATCATCGTCTTTGTATTCCCTCTTTTCTAGCTTTATGAAATTTCTACCAAGAATTGGAAATTTGAGTGAAGTACATATTTCATATTACTCCTTACCACTGTGTCTAAAGCTTGACGGCTGTGAGGGATTGTTTTAACACTTTTGCATTTATTAAAACTACACTTTACTGCTGTACAAATGACCTTATTATTATTACCTCTGACCCTTGATTCACATCTTAATGTCTACAATACGATTCAAACTAACTGGAGATAGTTTTTCGTCCTCAGTGTGATAAACAGACTCTGTAAATGTATTTAATTCCTACCAAGTATGACGAGGAAACATTTTCTGGGAGGAATTAATATTTGAACAACAACCACCAGCTGGGGAAGTTCATTCATAGAGCTTCTGTTCTGTTCTGTGTACATCTCATTTACATCAGGCTGTCTTTATCAATTAATCGAATTTAAAATTTGGTTAGGTAGAGAGAGGAGCTTGGACAGTGGAGGTGAGATGGACTCGACACCGGCACAGTGAATCTATTGGACGCTAAGAGGTTTCGTCTCTTTGTAAATCTTAAATATTTTCAGTAAGTATGATTAATATAATCATAACAGTAAACAGAGTGTGAGGGACGTCCACACTTACAGTGACATAAATGTCTTGAAGTTTATTTTCTAAATAAAACCTACTCTTATACATATATGAATTTTAAATTAAAAATCCAGTGTGATTTCTTCATAGAACCATCAATAAATATATGTTTTATTTCATTTGTTAACATAGTTTTAATAGTAATCTATATTAAAAGTCTTCATAGAGCTGTTATTCGTCGCTTCTACTTAGGTCTTGGTTGTTATTTAATTAATATATTTTTATTTTCTCTACATTGTAATACAATGATTGTTGTATGTTGTCTTCTTGCTTTTAAATCGATCTTATATAATATTGTTTTAACTATTTAAAACAATAATAATGTAAGGTCGATTTAATATATTATATATATCTCGGAAGAAATATTTTTTAACATAATATTAATATTAAAAAATATGTACAAAAGTGTTTTCATGTTTGTTGTACCTGTAATAAATTATGAAATATATATTTCATAACGTAAATTCTTTAAATCAAGAGTGTTAGATTTTTTTGCATTAAATTAACTAATTCATTTGATTCACATTAAAAGACCCTCAATTTTTGCACGCAAAGATTACATTTTATTTGGTTTTAAGTAATTATGGAAATGAATTGAAATTAGCTTAGAAAATATTATTATAATACATTCGGCTAATACACAACACTTAAATTATTGACTAGTTTTTGCCCTTGACTTCGTCTGCTATAGTTTCAGAATAAGAAATTTATAACTATATTCCTCCTTAAAGACAGTAGATAAGAAAATTTTGAATTTGATCAATTTATTGTTTTTTTTATTCCTTTGTTCTAAGCTGTATCTTCACCAATTTTCAGTCAAACCCGTAAAGCCGTTCTTGAGTTACAAACAGTGTAATCTTTTTATATATATGTATATAAAGGTATGTGAAAAATTTAACAATATAAATCAGAATGAAACCTTTATAGTTTCGAATATTTTGATCATAAATATACAACTGCTATACAAGAAAAGTGAAACGTTGTAGAACCTACTACAACGTATCAGAGTGCTGACGAAGCTTGGTAGGCGTTTCTCGTCATGATTACTTCCAAGGGAACTCCAAAAACTCAGTCAGCGTTGAGACAACGAGACGTACTCACAGACTTGTTTGATTATTCGTGTGTAAGACTGGTGAAGAACGGAATATATTGTATCAGAACTGATTTAAATATTCTTACATTTAGAGTGCTAAGCTTTATTTTGTAAATTAATTACAATGAGTTAAAGTAAATATCTTAAAATTCATTTTTATTACGTCATAAATGTAAATATATGCAAAATGTTGGGCATTCAGTAGAATAGAATATTAATTAGATTCAATAAAATTGTTAACACAAGTACAGTCGGCAACAATTAGAAAACCATCGATTTATTAAATGAAAATGGTGAAATCGAACCTATGAAGGATCACAACTACATCGTTCAGAGTTTATCTCTTCATTTTTACATCCTTATCAACTCATTACCGACATCTTTCCATCAAATATACTATTTTAATTTTCCCCATCGAATGTTAGTGACTCACACACACCACACGTTGAATCAGGTAAGCGAGCACAGAACAGCAAGTCATGTATGATTAAAGTCATTTATGACACGATTTGGAAATATACTTTGTCATTGTATTGGGACCATAACAGTTACTAGAGGATGGAGATCGTCTGATAATAAAAATCTCTCAAGGGTTGATTTATTTGGTTCTGATAAGTGAAAACTTCAGATTGATTGTTGTCGTCATTACAAATTACATCAATAATAATGATAGATACAATATGAATGTATAGAAACTTAAATAAAAATAAGAAGTAAAAAATGGTAGTACAAGTCACACTTAGTGACTGTGATTAATGATAGACGGCCAACTGTGTCCCAGACGCCTGCAGGTTCGTCATAGCTGAGATGTGGATGAAGCCTGCAGCAGTAGACTTCATACAACTGATCGTAATACAGCTAATTATAATAAGAATATAAAGTACATTGAACTAAGTAACTTTCTAGTTTCCCGCGACTTTACAAAATTAGAAATGTATCATTAATTTGAAGAAGTTAATTAGAAGAAATGTATAGCTTAGCGGTAGAACTCGTACGAACGAACAAGTAGATAAGAAGATTTTGGATTTGATCTACTTTTCTTTTCTTTTTCTATCGGATGAAATGTATCCTATTTCCTTTCACTTGTTCTAAGCTATCTTCAACCGTTCTTGACTTACAAATAGTGTAAATAACATGACTTTCTTTTGTATATAAAGATGATTTTTATAACATATTATATTCAAATAAGTACCTAGTTAACGATTAAAGATATAAAGAAATATGCATATTTTCAGTTTCAAAGAAGTCCAAAGATTATATGCAATCACATTTTGAATGATTATGATGACTTTTTTAAAATAAATAACTGGTAAATGATAAGTAGCTATTTTAAATATTTACCCTTAAAGCTCCTAATACTGCTAGACTCCAAATTTTATATCACCGAATATTCTAAAACTTGGTAAACTACAAACATTACGAGTGATCTTTTGACGATAACACATTTAATCCGTGTCTTTATAAGACAAGGGCTATTTTGAGTTCTTGCTCCGTTTATGTCACGAGCATACCTCTCAGACAATACGGGCGGCAATTGTTTTTAATAAGGTTATTGTATAATGATTGAATTCACGAACATAGTTCCGTCTATCAAAGTGTCTAATATGAGTTGGTGTATGGATGTGTATTTCGTCAGGTGCTGGTGTTAGTCAGCGACCTCGAGGTCCGTCGTTCCCCAGCCAGCGGCGTGCTCCTCATCATAATGCGGTGTTTAAGATGCGCGGCCATCGCCGGCAATGGAGTCAGCCCTGATGCTCTGGGTCGCAAGCCTCACCTTGCTCTCTTTCGGCGACCACGTTAACAGAAATAATTACCATTGTTTATATTTTATGTCTAAGACCGAGTTCGCCTTCATTTTTTTTTATATTGCCATTAATTCTCGAATATAATTTAAGGTCGTCGGTATGTGGAGTTGTTTACTGATGTCGCACGTAGCCACTTGTTTACAGAGTGTAATATTATTGTTAGTGATAATGCTAACCAATTAAATTAACAATAATTATTGGGTTTTAATGTTAATTAATTTATAATAATATTTATAGAATTATTGAATTTTTTTTGGGTAAATGTGGAAATCATGTTCATTTCGATCCTTCTAACCTTCTAGAATTCACTGGACTAGTGTTGTGTGATGACGAACAGCCAACAGGGTCTCATCCTTGACAGTATTTGTTATGTGACACGAGTCTCGTAACAGACAGACCTTACGACACGACACGTCACGAGACTAAACTACACGACGAGACACATTACTCTACCATAATGATAGCCATTGTAAACAACTCGAGGTCCAGATGAACTTGTAAACAACGTTATAACGAGAAATTGCTTAAAATAATGGAAGTAATCAACATTTATATTAATATTAAAGGAGAGATGTTAATCTCTAACTATAAAAGAATTCATCTGTTGTTAAGATAACAACAAACACCGGTGTGTTGATTATAGATGTTTAAGAATTAAAGTAGGACTTATTAGCTAACCTCCCGTGAACTCTTGTTGGTTCATATAAATAATATAAAGCTAGGTTATTATTTTAAAACATTTTAAATTTTAGCACATTTCTATACAAAAACTGTTGAGGTATATTTTTCTAAAATTCTGTTTATCATGAGGGAGTCTGTTTCAATGATTTCAATATTATTCTAACGTCGACATTTACAATGCACGTTAAACTATACTGTATAAGTATACATTCGTCAAAGACGAAGGAGTACATACATCACACATATATGTTATTCAATGTTTGAAATATTATTATTTAAAACATTTTACTTATCAGAAGCTTTATTTAATTTAAACACTATGAAAGTGAAATAAAACCTGTCAGAGTAAATTTCAGTTGCTATCTGTAGACCAGGACAACATATATCATAAGAGTATATAATATAATAATTTTTAGTTCATTATATTCGTCTCCGAGGAAGCATAGTATTGTTAACAATACATCTGTACAGCTGAAACCCTGGTACCGATATTCTATAATAATTCGACCACATTTCTGTATTAATTAGTATTATCTATGGCGAGCTGTAATGACGCAACGCGATAATTTTACCATAAATAAGCATTTGCGGTGATATGCCTTAATTACCGTCCAACGAGGCCATAACAACATTTATTATTACTATTTAATTAATATTATATGTATGTTATAAAGCATTATTATCTACGCGAGTTACACCATTACTGGGCCCATGTAAAATACACTGAAATGTATTAAATATTATAGTGTTACAACTATGCTAAACTACAGACAACTTAGTAGGTATACATATGCCTTTAACTGAAACAAGCAGTAAAGATGAATCTCAACCTCATTATAATTAATATTAGTTTGTATTATTAAATAAATAAAAAATAAAAGATGACACAATGTAAAGCTGTTGCAAAAGTCTTGAACTGATCGTATTCCCACTATCTTCTAGGAGGAAAGGATGTGAAGAATTGAACAAAGACAAAGAGAACACATTTAAATAAATCTGCTTTTAGGTTCTAAGTCATTGCTGTAGCAGTTACCAGAATTGCTTTTTTCGGTTGTTTGATATCAATACGTATTAAGTGTTTGAGAAGAAAAATGGCTTTACCAAAGAACATAACATACGAGAAGAACTTAAAATAATATAAAAATATGTTCAGAACGATAAATATTAAATGATTATATTCCTAGTATTATAACACTTAGGTCAGGTTTTAATATTAATAACCATATCTGATATTATGTAATAAAATATTTTATATGTATATACATAATGCGAATTATACATATTTTTACATAATAATATACATATTTTATTGGGTTTTCACAGATATATGTAGATATTTACATGGAGTTTGTCTAGCAGTATGGGTGAACCCCAGAAGGCTTTATGGCTGCTACAAGGATAACAATGTTAGGCGAAGACAGGGTTTCCCGGTCAGTGTCAGTGCGAGGGTTTAAAATGATTTGATTACTCCGCGCGAGACGAGTGTTAGGAGATTTCTATTTTATGACAACAAAACTATAATTAAATAGTTTTTTTTTACAAAATTTATTAACATTCAAAACCTCTTTTTATATACAAATGTTCGCGCATTAAACTCCTCGCAATCCGATGTGAATTCTAATATTAGTACATGCATTTTAATATAGCCTCTTTCAACTGGTCTCTTCTCCTAAACATACAGAGCCCACTTCTACATACATATAAAGATTAGTTTAAAATTAAAATAAATTGCTTCTTAGGTTTTTTTTTATCTAAGGAAACCCCCAAACGAGTCACAGACTGTGGGGCTTCTTGAGATTTTAATACCATGATTTCCCGATACGGTCATTATATACTAAGTGTATGTTGCACAATATAATATACAATATAATACATATATGTTTAGTAATAGTTCATAGTTTTATAGAAATAATGTATTTAAACTAACCCACACATTAATAATATTAATTATTTGAAAAGTTTTACAAATATGAAAGTTTATTTGCATGTAATAGTTGTATAGTCCGTTTGATTTAAGCTGAGAATTGCATTCAGTCAAATTTTTGAATGGCACGTTCTTTTCTAGTTTCGAACCGGTTTATTCTGCTTTTGCTTCCGCATTTCACCTTTTGTACTGGTAGCAAAATCAAATGTTGAAAACACAATGTTAAGTGAAGAAGAATTTGTATAGTTTTTTCAAAAAATTTATTAATTAATAATTTTTTTTCCATAATATTTATAATATTTCCATCTGGCCTTTTATAAGTTTTGCCTATTTTATAGTACTTGTGTTATGTATCTATTTAAAATATAATAAAATTGAATTCTAAAAGTTTTTTGTCTAACTCTACTTTTACTTTCGCTCACATAAATGCAAAGCTCAGCTTAAGTCCAACGGACTATAACAGTATTGTAACAGTGTGAGGACCCATTGTAATTATGTTTACAGATTTAATAAAAGAAATGTATATAGAAGAAATACTTAGAATATTCAACCCTATACATATAATAACTAGGAAAATATATTCGATACAATATTTAGGAGAATAAATGTTATCTTCACACCTTTTCAAATAACTATCAATAACTACTAATTAATCTTTAGCTGAACGACTAGATGCAATACAATATAAAGTTAAAAGCCAAAGTTACATTAAATAAATTAAAATCCGCAATCCTCAGACCCTGACCTTCCGCAGGTAGCTGAAAACCAGTCTAGACGGAGCTTGGACTAAAAAACCAGCTCAATAATGATACATACAATATTCTACAGATATTTTTAATCAATATTTCATTCTATTTAGAATATGGGCTCGAACATTGAACTAACTTAATTGAAAATTATGTACTCTTACTACTGATGAGTGATGTACTAGAGATTATATGGTTTGCAGCCCTCAAAAACACTGAAATAATCAACATAAAGGTGACGAAAATATAGTAGAAATTTTACTGTAAGTGATATTTTAATTTACAAGTACAATCTTTAATTTTTGTTTGCCAATAATAAAAATACTTATCAATAATTTGGTGTCACAATATTGTCAATTCATTGTACTGTACGGCTTTTAAGGACGTCTATTAACAGATGCAGAGTTTAAAGCAAGATCAATATTTATGACGATTTATACATATATATATATATATATATATATATATATATATATATATATATATTTTTTATTAAAGACAGCAGGTATTAGTACTGAATACTGTTACTAATACTAAGGTATTTTATTCTATAGTGGTGTCTGGTGTCTAGTATCCGACCAGCTTCAAGCAATGACCACATGACGATGCTATCTCCAAGGCACTCCTCCACATCTGGTTATCACCTCAAGGTCGTGAACTGGTCCACTTCTAAAATTACACGTGTGCTCATTCACCTTGGGAAACTACAGGTCATTAAACGGTTTTTTATAATAAAATTCAATTCTTGGATTTTACAACTACGCTTAAGTTATTATGTCATTCACATAAAAAGTTTATATTTAATATTGAAATAGTTTTTTATTCAAATAGTTTAATATATGAAATATTATGTATGTATACTATACATAACTCACAATATAAGATTATTCTTTTTGTCTGTTTATCTTTGATCCAATATAACTCAATAAGTAATAACAGCGTTTCAAAACATTGTTTATTTGTTTTATTACTACTGATCCTTGGTTGAATTTACTTTTCATTGGTACAGAGTGTTTTTTGTAAAACACTTAATCGAGTAATATGCAACAGATAGCTGACATAATTTTGAACACGAGCTTATTCTTTCACAGCTGGATTGATATTAACCAAAAGTAGCTAATAAATACCGGATTGAAATTCTTATTCAAATTAAGAAAAATCCTATCGAAATCTTTGTACATGACACACATACACATACGCCCAACTTATAACTTATAACAACTTAAAAAAGGGTCCTTTGTTGGGGGTTTAAAAATATTCAACATTTACAATTTATTGTACAAAATATTTACTTACTCTAAGTTTTTCATCCTACAATGTAAGTTTCTTTTAAGTAATCTCATAAAGTATTGAAATAAGGTGCTCTTGGCATGTTACATTAAAGTTGAAAAACATTATTGGTCAGAAGTAGGAATGTAAGGAAAAAGAAACGAAATGATTTAATTCTTGGTCAGACAATTATTTCTTTATATTTTTAAACATACGTGACCATAATGAAAGTTCAGAAGCTTATTGAGTTGACATTGATTTTGACTTTGTAGCGGAGTCTATCCATTCAGTTATGGTGATACAAGACATTATCAATGGATCGGTCTGAAGTTTCGGAACAATTATTATTCCCATATCAAATCCTCCTTATGAAAGG